TTAGGTTGTTTATTTTTCATTTCAATGAACATCTACAGAGATTTTGGGATTCCATTCATTCATTGTTGCACCCTTCTCCCCGCACAACCCACCCCCCTCGCCCCCCATTTGCTCCTCTCCTTGAAAAGCAAAAGAAAAACTCCCTCATTGATGCTCTTCCCGTGAACAGCTGAGTTCTGTGGCATTCTTACTAATCCTGAGATTCATTCTGTGATCTGTGTGTGATAACATGATACATTTTTCTTTTTTTTTTAACATGATACATTTTTAAATTAATAATTTTATGCTTACTAATAAGATGTTTTAAATTAACATTTGATTTCTTACTGATATTCATATTTTATAACTAGTACATTTTTGAAGCAAAATTCCATTTGCGCATTCAAAAGGCAGCTTACCATAACTCTGTGTGTATATATATGTGAGTGTATACATACATATATGTGCCTAGCTTTTTCTTAACTATCATCCATATTTTTTTGAAATACAGGCAGGCCCTGGGTTCCAAATGTCTGGCTTACGGCATACTCCTACTTGTCCTTTAATGTGTAAATTTGCTCTAGTTTTGAACTGTTTGATAAACCTCCTTGTGAGCAGCTTTGAAACCACTGGAAATTCTTGAAGCCTTTTCTTGCACGACCTCCTATTCTCAGGTGGATGCCAACTCATACCAATCATCCACCATGTCTCCAAGGTGTGAACTTAGTGGTAGGAGCCGGTGCGTCTTTCTCCCACAAGGTGACTGGTGGATTGGAAACACCCACCTTTTGGTTAGCAGTTCGACACATGATACGCTTTCTTGTGTGTCTGTTCCAACACTATAGAACAGAGGACAGTTGTCACGTAGTGTTCCAGGGAAATCTTCATAGAACCAGACTATCCCAATATTTCACCGTGGAATAGCTAGTGAGTCAGCTTTCTTCGCCTTTGATCGGTAGCCCAGATCTGCCCACCATGGGTCCTTCTTTTAAGTTTACAGAGACTTTGGATTTCCATTCATTCATTGTTGCACTTTTCTCCCTGTTCATCCCTCCCCCTTCAATTAGCTTTTCTTTTTGAAAAGTAAAAGAAAAAATTCTTTCATTGTTATATAGTCCCTCCCCCCAAGTCCACTCTACTGTGCACCCTTTGTTCTGGACTCCGGTCATAACAATAATATCTAATCATATATCCCTTTTAAACAGTACTCTCCCTCATCTGTTTCACTGCAGTATACATTATTTATCCCATCTTTCTCAGTCTCCCCTCAACTCCTGTGTCAGTCCTCTTTTATAACAGTGGCATTATGTCATATTTGTCTTTTTGTGACTGACGTATTTCACTCAGCATAATGTCCTCCAGGGTCACCCATTTTGTGTAATAGTTCATGAGTTCCTTGTTTTTCACATGGGTTCTTCTTGTATTAATCAAATATAAACCATACCCAATGCTGTCAAGTTGATCCCAGCTCATCACAACCCACCATTGACTTTCCAAGGCTTTGAATATAGTGTCAGAGGAGAAGAAGATGGATTTGAACTGCTGACTTTGTGGTTAGCACCCTAACAGGTATGCCTCCAGGATCCCCTTCTTGCACTAAAGTATGTCTGAATAAGAACTGTGTGTAGCTGCTTTGAATTAATCCACAAATTCTACAGAAAGATACAATTGTATGAACAGATGTCATGTTTGACCTGGTGCTGCCTGTGCCTGTCCTGTAAAGGAGTCCTCACACATAATAACACACACACACACACACACGTGCGCGCGCTGTATTGTTTGCCATCCTAATGAGCTCCTTGCCCTTAAACAAACAAAAGTTGGGAACAAAGATGTGAAAATTTTAACCTTTTGCTGCTTGTGGGATTAGAAAACTCACGCATTATCTTGTCTTTGAACATTCAAATTATGTTTAACTTGCTTTTGCAAGGGCATTTCATGAAGTGTAATTTAGTCATGGGTGGAATTTTTGAAAATCTACATATATTAGGACAAAAAGTAAATAAGTGAAGCAATACGGCTTAAGTAGATAATTGGATAAAAAGCTGTGTTTTATTTGGTAATCTAAAGTATTAAGTTCCTTTATCCAAGAAGTACTGCAGGAATGAATAGAACCAAACAGTATGATAAATGTTACTATATTAGCTCATCAACAAATTCATCCCTTGTGTTTCATAGGTACTCTACCTTTTAAGTGAATCTTAATGGTTTATGTATATTTTATAGCTCTGACATTGATAGGGTTGACATTATAACATTAATTGATGCTCCGTGTCTGACATGTACTGCACTTATGCGATAGATATTTTATCCGGGGAAAAACAGAAAGAAAACAAAGCCTGCTTATCTTTTTTTTTGTTTTCAGACCATTCCTTTTACTTTTCAACCAGCTGAGTAAAACCCTGCCCCTCTTACTCATTATTTCTCTTATTAGGAAGATCTTCTAAGCTTAGTAGTTAAGAACAGAACTTTGTCACAGCAACTCACAGTTTCGAGCATTATTCCCATTTTATGGATAAGGAAACTGAGATTAGAATGGAAGGTAATTCATCCATCACACTGCCTTCAACTCTGCTCTTTCCATTATTCTAGATTGTCTATTCTAGAATAAGGAAGGAGGAGTGGCATCCACTTCCATAATAGCTTGCCTCCGGAAACCCTATGAACCTGGAGAGAGGATGAAAGGCACCCAAGCGTCGAGGACTCTCCTTCATAGGGTCGCTATGAGTCGCCTGCGACTCGACGGCATTTAACAACAACAACATTCTAGAATAAAAATTGTTACGAATACAAGTTTAGACAGTCATATCTGTATTATCAGTGAGGGTGACTTACATGATCTGCTGAGCATTTTGATGTAGCATATTGGGGTGTTGTTTTTTCTAATTGAGGAAATGAATGGATGCAGTTAAACAACTCTTTCTGAAATACGGTCACTTTTCAAAGAACGTGAGGTTAGGCTCACAGGCATTGTTGACTCCAGTTTGTCATAAGACTGACATTCTTAGCAATCACAGTCTTCACAGAGCCTGTGGGGTTTATAAAAAATGTCTGTAATCAGTGGCTGTCTAAACATGATTTTTATTTTTTTTTTTAAACTTAAAGCAAATCCTGTTTCTCTTCAGTGTTGTGAATACCACTAGTCAGGACTCGGCGGTCTTATTGCTAAGCTGGTTGTAATGAAGGCATTTCTACGTCCCCAGGAGGCTTCTCTCAATCAGAGTTGGTCAGTCTTTCTTTCCCACTAGACAGTCTCAGAAGAGGCCATCACTTCTCACTGGGCCTCTTAGGGCCACCAGTTATATCGGAGCACATTGGTGCTATTTGATGAAGGACCAGATCCCAGAGAGACTCAGCTCACTCGTTGCTCTAGAGTTAGAACTGATTGTTGGGTTTCTCAGTCTGTAAATCACCTGGGAGAGCATTGCCCCCTTTTCTCCCATGTATCTGTGAAACTTTATATACTTTCATGGTGATTTTGAGATCTTGTTTTTGAACAGCAGTGAAAATATTCAAGTGCAAACCTTGGCTGAGAAATCCCTTCCTTGTATTTGTACTGAAAGCTTCCAGTCAATTGGAAATTTGCACATAGGAAAGGAAGCTCTTGTCCTTAGAGTGGGCTTCCCAGGGCATGCGTGTGGAGAATGTGCTCTTGGAAAATGTTATCACTAGGCTGCATTTTTTATGACTTAACCAGAAATCAAATTTTTGCCTGCATGTGAATGATATTAAAAATGTTTCTACTAAGTTTTGGAAAAATACTTATTAGAGTTTAGCGAAAGCTGATGAATCTTTGAAGCTATTTTCACTTTTTCTCTTCAGTGCAGTTCTAAGAAAGGAAGCCATGGAGGGTGGAGTAGGATATAAAGAAGACTTAATTGAAGTTTGAAGCAATTTTCTTTCCAGTTGTTTTTGTCTGGTCAACAACATCAATGGTTAATTGCATAGGTAGGCCATCTTTAAGCGGTTTGACAATTAATACTATCTTGAAAATGAAT